TGTCCATACATGTCCTGTTAGACAGAGGACTCATGTCCATACTTGTCCTGTTAGACAGAGGACTCATGTCCATACTTGTCCTGTTAGACAGAGGACATGTGTCCATACATGTCCTGTTAGACAGAGGACTCATGTCCATACTTGTCCTGTTAGACAGAGGACTTGTGTCCATACTTGTCCTGTTAGACAGAGGACATGTGTCCATACATGTCCTGTTAGACAGAGGACTCATGTCCATACTTGTCCTGTTAGACAGAGGACTTGTGTCCATACTTGTCCTGTTAGACAGAGGACATGTGTCCATACATGTCCTGTTAGACAGAGGACTCATGTCCATACTTGTCCTGTTAGACAGAGGACATGTGTCCATACATGTCCTGTTAGACAGAGGACTCATGTCCATACTTGTCCTGTTAGACGGAGGACTCATGTCCTGTTAGACAGAGGACTCATGTCCATACATGTTCTCTCAGACAGAGGACATGTGTCCATACTTGTCTTCTTAGACAACAGACTTGTGTGGACAGTGGACACCACAGTTTTGCGTTATTTTCTGTTGAAGTAGCTGCCCAAGCTTTTATTTTGAAAGGATTCTATAAAAACAGCTGAGCTGTGCTGTAGACAGAGATGTCAGAGTAGTTTGGAGTTTAATGGCAGCAGATGAAGGACAGTGTCTCAGATTAGGTCTTCTGTCTTATCTGAGCAGATATTTGTTCAAATACAGATTAGAGGTTTAGAGTTTAGTTCTGTTCTTGTTTACATTTTTAGAGTTGATAAGTGTTCGTTTACTCCTAAATAAATCCTGCTTTGATGAACAGAACAATCGCCTCATGGCTCTGACGTGTAAAAGCTCGGCTCGTTGATTCGCCGTCTCTGTCCTCCTGCAGCCGAGGCCAGCCTGAGTGAGACGTCCTCTCGTCCGTACTTCATCCAGATGAGGAACGCCGGCAGCATGCCGCTGACGTTCAGGAGAGAAGCTGGAGTCTGGGCCCAAACAAAGAGCCTCCTCTACAAGAACCTGCTCATCAAATGGAGAACCAAGCAGCAGAGCCTGCAGGTCTGACCCAGAACTCCTCACATCAAACCGTATATCTGGAACTAGCTGAGACTCGGCTGTGGCTAACACGCAACATAAACTCCAGTTCTTTTGTAAAATCGCACATCAACCATGTCGCGTGTTAATTTGACCYGATTTCTTCCTCAGGAACTGATCCTCCCCCTGCTGCTCCTGGCCCTYCTGATCTTCATCAGCATCCTGAATCCTCACGTTTATTACGGCGGCATCAACACAGTGGAGCTGGACAGTGAAGTCAGCTTCCAGAACTTCAAGGGTCTGGGCTACACCCCCATCACCAACATCACCTCCCACATCATGGAGGAGGTGTCCCAGGCGATCAGTAAGTCTGAGATCTCCATCGCTCCGCCCTGTCCCTGGAGGGMAGGAGGCGAGAGCTGAAACTTTCTGAACTCTGCAGACATGCAGGAACGCCTGGAGTTGTTCACCAGCGAGGAGGAGCTGGAGAACGCCAGCCTGTACGAGCCGTCCAGCTACATCGGCGTGGTGTTCGTGGACGGCTCCGCCACGTCGTACAAACTGCGCTTTCCGTACAACAAGCTGCCCCAGCCCAGCGACTACACCGAGTCTATTGGTAAAATCTTTATTAATCCATGTTTCCATTCTGGTTTTCACAAAGACAWACACATTCAAGATAGGGCTGTGCTGTATGTGATAGATGGTAGAAACCGTATGAAGTTGGTCTATGGTAGAAATTTACCCTCTACCTGTCCTGTCACCAGTTACATCATCACACCTGTGTCAACATGGCTGTGAGTGCAGAGACACCTGAGCAGGAGTTTGAAATATAATGAAGAAATATAGTGTTTTAAAACACACACGTATGTAGAGAATAAATCCTTAACATTTCCCCTCCCGCTGTAGAAAAGTTACGTCGTGTCACAGGATCATTTCCTCCCTCCCGCTGCACRTTGCTAGAGCGAAGCTTTAATAACCGTAGTTTTTAACACCCAAGTTGTCAGAGAAAAAAAATAGTTTTTATGTTTTGTTTCCCAMAGAGATGATAAAAAAAGATGTGGACACTYGTTCAGTCWTAAATCCATCTYCTGCTCTGAGAGCTGCAGAGCAGCAGCCGATAAGTTCAGCAGCAGAAGCTCATTGTATGGCAGGCAGATATTACATTTATTTGGCTTCACCACACTTACATTCCAGTTGTCTGAAATTGTTTTATGACAGGACTATGTGYAGYTTAAGGTCCTGTCACACTATAACATTTTAGAGAACTAAGAATGTTTATAAGATAAGATAAGATAAAACTTTATTGATCCCATAGTGGGGAAATTTCAACATTACAGCAGCTCAAAACAGGACAGGGTGAGATAGAATAAAGAAAGATAAGTAAAAGAAAAACATAAAACACTATACTCGGTATATATAATTTGTGTCTAAATGCCTAATTTTACCTGAAGTACTGGTTATAACATCAACTTAATTTTGATATTGTTGAAAATTTGAGAAAKGTTTTTGTTTGTCGTTGAAACTGTTTTGCAACATATCTAAAACATTCTTTWGTTCTTCTGTTATGTTAATTTACAAAACAGCAAAAATGCTGGGTTTGATTATGATTACAGTTTTCTGCAAAAAAAAGTCTCTTAAAAATTACATTGTCTTTGATTTTTATGATACTTTTCTACCACAATATGTACTATTACTGTGAAGGGATTTAATTTATACCCTGATATGAATTTGAGGTCRTACCGCCCAGCCCTGTTTCAAGATTATCTGCTGTCTTCAAACAAATACATCCTCAAAGTCAATATTTATGCTTTCTTTTCCAGTGAAATTCAGCTTGTCCCATTGCTCGAATCCAGCTGTTAGCTAGCATCTTAGCTTGRGAAAGGTGATTTAAAAAATATTCCTTCCATGATAGCTGCACCGAGTCTCTGCAGTTTTGTGGTAATCCTGGTGGAGTTTGGTGCCGTTTTCTCAAGTTTATTTAAGCTTAAACACAGCTAAGCTGCTCGCTCAGTGACTTCTGAATGATTAGAGAATAAAAGTCTCCAAACACACCAGGAAAAATATCTAGATTTGTCACTAGTTGCTTAAAAAGGCGCTAGAGTTTGAAAACTGGCTAAATTGACACACCGACTACATGCTCGTTTGTACATATTGGATTAATGATGCATTCAGGGACCAAAAAAAAGTTGGATTATTCAGGACCAGAAACAAAATCTGAATTTTTTTTCTTTGTCCAGCCGATCAAGCTGCAGCTTCACAGCCTGTTTGCTCTTGTTCTCCTCCAGGTAGCTGTTACAGCAGCCTGATGAGCTGCGAAGCTGCCAACTACTGGTTGTCTGGTTTCATCCGCCTCCAGTCCCTGATCGACGCAGCCATCATCCAGGTGAGACACACCTGACCCTAACCTTCAGATGCCAGATCTTCAAAAGGTCAAAATCATCCAGATTTTGAAATCCCACTTCTTGCTATCCAGGATCACATAAATCATCTCACTTTTATCCCAGTTGTTGAACTGAATCAATTTTGTCCTGATTTAACTTTTCATGATTACTAAATATGTAAAATGAGCGCTCTAAACTAGACTGCATGTCGCACTGAAGGCTAGAAAAAAAAAACGGTAGAAACACCAACATAAAATCACTTAAAGTCTATTTATTTTAAGGAACATAAACAGAAAATAACACCCTTTTTCTATCATTATCTTATTACCAGTCAGAAAATATCTGCTACACGATAAATAAAAAAAGTGAATAGATGCCATGTGTTTTTAATTTTAAGCTTAATTTTRATGTTAACCTTGAAACAAAAATAAAACACAGACGTTGAGCTTTATTCTGTGGAATGATCAAAATTTGCAGATGAGCGTCCAACATAACACTCGTCTAATTATTTTTTTATTTGGCAACTATTCAGAGGAACATTTTATTGCTACCTCACAGGTCTGTAGTGTAATATAATATAATTTCACCTTACAGTGGTTTCAAAATCAGGTAAAAAAATATCAATAAATAAATGTAAATCTACGACATGATGAATGCTTATCGGGTAAGTTGAAATTTAATTTAAATCACATTTTATTCCTGAAAATCCACCAAACTACTGGGATCAGAATAATCCAAGGTTTGATCCAGATCAAAACCAGGATTGGATTATGTGATGTTTGATTTCAGAATCTGTTTTTTGGTTTTAAACAATCCATTATCCGAAATCTGATTGGATTACCTTTGAAAAACTGGCCTTTAGGCTTTAAAGGGATCCATGATTACTTGTAACTTTAGATGTTATTTGATAAATCTTTACTTAAACTGTAAAACAAAGACAGGAAATATTTTAAATACTGTAGACTGTTTAGTTTTTATACATTTTTAAAAATATATCATCACACAGACTGTCATGTTATTAATGCTGCAAAGCTTACTGGGTAATGATGACGTAGACTAAGTTTTCTGGTGCGAGCTCTGATCCACGTTAATCTTGAACAATGTCTGACGATCAAAACTTTTAAATAAAACCAGAGCACCTTGACAGAGAGGAGGAGGTAGAAATATTGATTCTCTTCTTACCTTCAAATCACAGCTCAAAACTCATCTGTTTAAGTTAACCTTCTGACTTTAATTTCTTAGTTATTTTCTATTAATTTTAGTGTTTTTATTGCCATTTTATTGTTAATATTATGTTTTTAATGTTGTAAAGTGTCCTTGGGTGTCTTGAAAGGCGCTAACAAATAAAATGCAATATTATTATTATTATAAATGACAACAGAGCTGCTTCATGGAAGGAGATCTTCAGTTTAGCCTGTTAGCTTTCGCGTTAGCGCCGAGCTAATATCGTTAGCTCAGGAACTCTGGCCATATATATTAAAGATTCAAGAGTTTTATTGTCAAATGCCCAGAATATAAGCAGTTACACTGTGCAATGAAATTCTTACTTTGCAGTTCCTCCATTTACCGACAATAAATAAAGAGATAATAAATAAAGAGATAATAAATAAAGTACAATAGAGTACAAAAAGTATATATCAATAAATATGTGGTGTTGTTTTATACGTATATGTGTTAGCTCGGTGAATGTCATCATTAACCCGGTACATTTTGAGGCGTTAAAATAAGGTTTCCATCCGTGTGACAATATATATTTTATAATTTATAAAAACTAAACAACCTACGGTATTTTTCCGGTGTTTGTTTATTAATAAATTTCTAATGTTCCAAGTAATCGTGGGTCACTTTAACAGTGTTGGTATTTTCTGAGTGAAGTTCTCAGGTAATAAATCTTGTTCCTATAATCTGCTGCTGGTCCTCGTTCTGTGTCCAGATGCAGACCAGACGCTCCGTGTGGAACGARCTGAACCTGAACGTTGTCATGATGGGCCAGCCGGGCTCCGTGGAGGTGCACAAGTTCCCCCACGCGCTCATCTCCATCTACCTGGTCCTGGCCTTTACACCCTTTGTCACCTTCCTCATCGTCAACGTGGCGGCTGAGAAGGAGCACCGCCTCAAGGATACCATGACCATGATGGGGCTTTACAACACGGCCTTCTGGTGAGGAATAATCCGGTTCTGGTGTCAGAGAGTCCAAAACGAATGGGTCGTCTATGAGTTCATGTGTCGTCCCGCAGGTTGTCGTGGGGGCTTCTGTACGCTGCTCTGGTGACCGCCATGTCCTTCCTGATGGCCATCATCGCCACGTTCACAGCTCTGTTCCCCAACAGTGACTTCTTCATCATCTTTTCCCTCATCTTCCTCTACGGGATCTCATCTGTGAGTAGATCTTAAACGTCCAGAACAAACGAGACATTTTAAACCGGACGGTTGTTTTTTTTTTTTTTAGGATGTGTTGTAATTATGGGGGCACGATAGTTATCGGCCGATATCAGGGTATTATGACGTCATACTAATCGGTCCGATATCATAACAAACAGAACCAATAATATAYGTACAYGTTTGCCAGCGCGGCGATGAGAATACGTGTTTACTTACCATCGTTGGCCACGGTTTACCATTGTTGGCCACGGTTTACCATTGTTGGCCACTGTTTACCATTTGTTGGCCACTGTTTACCATCGTTGGCCACTGTTTACCATCGTTGGCCACTGTTTACCATCCGTTGGCCACGGTTTACCATCGTTGGCCATGGTTTACCACTCGTTGGCCACGGTTTACCATTCGTTGGCCACGGTTTACCATTCGTTGGCCACGGTTTACCATTCGTTGGCCACGGTTTACCATTCGTTGGCCACGGTTTACCATTCGTT